AGTCACTGTACTACTGGGAAATGTATAACATTCAATCAAAACAAAACTTGTTATTGTCAATAAGCCACATTTTCCTGTGCATTTTTACATCTGACCAAATGTAGACAACCTTTTTGTAAAAGATATAGAGACTGAGAAGATCTATCTAATCTCTGGCCTTTACATTGAGTAGCACATTTTGTGCTAGGTTCTGTTTTTCTATTCAGGATAATTTTGTTCCAAAGTCTACCAAAATAAAATGTTTCTTCTGTTTAAAAAGGATAGCATCTACAGCTTTAAAACATGTAATTTGTATCCTGTTCTTCAGTCATGAAGTGCTGCACACTTTGATTACTATGAAATCTTTACAATACCTGCATTCTCTGTAATTGCTTTCAAATATTTCTTTTCGTGCTGTGCAACTGGTTTGATTTGTATAGATTGCAGCACAATAGTTCTGTGTTCTTTATACTGCTGTATAATTATGGTTAAATGCTCCCTATATGGAATAATATAATAGCAATTTCTAATATAATTACAGCTTTATAATTTTCATAGCAATTGGCTATTGGAATGTTTTTTTAGTCACTGAGTAAAGGAGAAATTGAAAACAGGATTTGGCTTCATTGTATCACAATGGATAAAAAGCTGTATGTGAAATTTATAAGGGAGATGGACAGCTGCTGCATCAAATAATTGGATTCAAAGTTGAGATCAGTGACATGAAATTTCTTTATACTAGTCAGGATTTATTCAGTTGCCTTATATAATTTACATAAATTCAGAAAGATACATGACAGATGTGTAATGTAGGAGATGAGATTCAGTTTAAGGTTTCTAACTGAAGACAACACAAGGGCAAATATATTACTATCAAGACTTATTTAATAAAAATTGAGGTTATTAAAGTAGAACTCCAATCTAATGAAATATATATGAATATTGTTTAAAGCTGTTGAAAACACCAAAAATACCAGATTATCATTTCATGTTTTTTGTGCAAAGACAGAGACACTAATATGCAGTTTTTTCAACGACCAGCTGAAAATTGTGTGCCTGTCTTCACCCTCTCCGCTATATTGTGGTGACTAACATCCTAGTTTACATAGAGCAATCCAATCAATTATAAAAGAGATTTACTCCTATTTTCACTTAAAAATCTAAAATTTTTAAGAATTCCAGAAGATTATCTATTTATCTATTTTCAAAATATGGATTTATCTCCTGTCACTCTGTTCAGCTGACCGGAACTATGACGGAGCATGTGACTCAGTTATTTACTTCTTATGTGCTTGGTAATTGGCCCACTACTGTCATATGGGGTGGAGAGGTAGCCAAGTGTTCCTCAATGTCTCACTCCAGGCTGAATAAAGTGGGTGATGAAGAAAAGGATGGTACCTCCTGCTACTGGTGAGAGAGGAATTAAAGTGAACCTATTGATATACCCTGAATGGGCAAATTAGTGGCTCACTGCAATCAGAATTCAAGTCTGAATTCAAAGCTCTGATAGGAGCTATGTGTTTCGGCTCCAGCAAACATTTTAGGGAATATTATTATGTTTGAAACAATTATGTTTGTACTAGTGTTGCCTTCAGTTAGAAACTTAAAAAAAAATCTCACCTACTAAATCTGATATCTTTCTAAAATTAATGAAAGGAAATACAACCCCAATTCCAAGTTGGGACACTGTGTAAATCTACATAACACATATTGCATTGATTTGCAAATCTCATAAACCCATATTTTATCCACAATAGAAAATTAAACTGAGAAAATGCACAATTTTAAGAAAACTATAAGATAATTTTAAAATTGATGGCAGCAACACATGTTAAAAAAGTTGTAAAAAGAGCCATGTTTACTACAGTGAAGCATTCCCTCTTCTGTAAACATCTGGGAACTTGTTTATCAGTGAAATTGGGACTGCTATTAATAGCAATATTTCAATTTTTGCTGATGATACCAAAATGTGTAGGGTAGTAAACTCGACAGACGACATACAAATATTACAAGAAGATTTGGATAAAATAGGGAGGTGGGCATCTACATGGCAGATTAGGTTTAATATTGAGAAGTGTAAGGTTATGCATTTTGGAGTTAAAAATACGACAGAGAGCTACTCAATAATGGGTGTCCCACTGGGGGAATCAGAGATAAAAAAAGATTTGGGAGTCCTAGTGGACTGTTGCCTTAGTAACAGCAATCAATGCTAGGCTGCAGCAAATAAGGCAAGCAGGGTTCTATCATGCATAAAAAGGGGGAATGTACTTTAAAGATAAATCGATAATTCTGCCCCTGTACAAAACAGTGGTCCGGCCAAATCTTGAGTATGCAGTTCAGTTTTGGTCACCGATCTACAGAATGTCCTTGAGCTGGAGAGAGTCCAGAGAAAGGTGACAAAGCTAATAAAAATTTTAGAGGACCTAAACTATGAGGTAAGACTGCAAGTGTTAAACTTGTTCACCCTTGAAAAGAGGAGACTGAGAGGGGACATGATATTAATGTACAAATAGTTTAATAGTGATGGGAGATAGAACAATAGAACTGACAGCAAACAGTAATAAACTGTTTGCTGTCAGTTCAGTCAAGAATACACAAGGCCACCACCAGAAACTGGCAGAGAAAGGGTTTAATCCTAAAAAGCGAAAGGGAAAGCTGTAAAAACGTGGAACTCTTTTCCACAGACAGTGGTATCAGCTGAGAGTATGGGATCATTCAATAACTATGTAGACACTTTTTTTAGGACACAAGATATAGGGGGGTACAGGTAATCTTAGTAACAAACATACACAAACACACACATATGCACACAAAACCCAAAGGTTGAACTCGATGGACCTGTATCTTTATTCAACCGTAACAACTATGTAAGTGAGGAGACCAGTTGCTGGAGTTTTGGGAGAGGAATGTTGTCCCATTCTTGCCTGATATAGGATTCTAACTGCTCAGCCGTCCTGGGTCTTCTTTGTTGTATTTTCGTTTCAAGATGCGCCAAATATTTTCAATTGGTGAAAGGTCGGGACTGCAAGCAGGCTAGTTTAGCACCCGGACTCTTCTACTATGAAGCCGTGCTATTGTCTTAGATGCAGTATGCAATTTAGTGTTGTCCTGCAGAAATATGCAAGGCCTTCCCTGAAAAACACTTTGGATGGGAGCATATGCTGCTCTAAAACCTGGATATATATTTCAACATTGATGGTGCCTTTCCAGATGTGCAAGCTGCCCATTCCATATGTACTGATGTACCCCTATGCAATTAGAGATGCAGGCTTTTGAGTGCTGATAACAAGCTAGAAGGCCCCTCTCCCCTTTAGTCCGGAGAACACAGCACCCACGGTTGCCAAAAAGAATGTCAAATTTTGAATCGTCTGACCACAGAAAAGTTTTCCTCTTTGGGACAGACCATTTAAATAAGCTCTGGCTCGGAGAATACGGTGGCGTTTCTGGATCATGTTCAGATATGACTTCATCTTTGCATGATGGAGCTTTAACTTGCATTTTTGAATGGCACTTCACACTGTGTTCACAGACAGTGATTTTTGGAAGTATTCCTGAGCCCATGCAGTGATGCCCATCACATAATTATGCCTTTTTTAATGCATTGCCATCTGAGGGCCCCAAGATCAAGGGCATCCAATATTACATTTTCGGCCTTATCCCTTACACACAGAGATTTCTTTTGATGATGTTGTGTATGGTAGATGATGATATATTTAAAGTCTTTGGAATTTTTATTTGATGAACATTATTCTGAAATTGTTCAACAATTTTTAGACACAGCTTTTCACAGATTGTTGAACCTCTGCCCATTTTTACTTCTGAGAAACTCTAAGATGCTCTTTTTACACCCAATGATGTTACCAACCTGTTGCAATTAACCTAATTCTAGCTCTTCCTAGTTAGTACCACCTTTTTTTGCAAGCTTTTTGTTGCCCTGTCCCAACTTTTTTGAAATGTGTTGCTGACCTCAATTTCAAAATAACCTTATTTTTTTCTTAAAATCGTACATTTTCTTACTTTAAATGTTTGAGGTTCTCTGTTTTCTATTGTGAATAAAATATGGGTTTCTGAGATTTGCAAATAATTGTATTCTGTTTTTATGTAGATTTTTGCCATTCATATAATCAAAAAGATTATAAAAATACTGACACCTTTTAAAATGTCCCTTTTCTAGTCATCACTTTATATATATAAAAAAGGAGTACATAAGAATCTTCTTTGTTTTTGTCTTGCAACATTCTCCTCTTTAATTATACAAAATGATGCCCATGGTTTAATGGGTAACTTTAACATTACACAATATTAAGTTAATATTCTAAGACAGGATACCAAACAATCAGCTTTTAAAGTAGGAGCTATTGCCTATTTTGTTCCACCATGCTTTTACAGTGTATAGAAGTTTCTACCATGTCCATCCTAAAAGACTTCTATTCTACTTGTTGCCTTGGTGGAACTTTAAAGACAATACTTTTTCTATATAAACATTCCTTAAATGTACCCTTTTTGCAAAACATTTAGAAGATCCAGTCTCATGAAAGCTTACAATCTACATTTCATTTTGGATACCAAAGGTCTGCCATGTCTTTTCTCTGAAGCTTCCCTCACAACTGTGAATGCACCTTATGTCGATTATTTAGGTTAATTGGAAATAGTATTCTGTGAGATTGACATATTCAAATTTTCATGCTGATAACATAACAGCTTTAGGAGGTATCACTTAGGCAACTTAATGAAAAGAAAACATGTGGCACTTCCAAACATGGTGTAGTTGGAATTCTGTAACAATTTGGTGGGTTATTGTTTGAGCAGATTATGTATTCACTAATTTGTAATTATAATCTATGGATCTATGAGATTGTTGAAAGAGAACTAATAGGCCAGCTAATGCTTCATGTGACTGATGTTGGCAAAGTTGCAAAGTGTTTCAGTTTTCATTTTAAATAAAAGATATAAAACTAGAAAATGTCTGCATGACACAATAACAACTAAAAGAACCGGTCATTTGCTCCTATATTTTCCAGATCACACAGCACTTCCATTCCATTAATTGAACGGACCTTTACAACTTTCCCCTCATTTAGCTCTGTGGGGGAATGGCTGCAGGCCATTGAAATGGAGAGATACAAAGATAATTTTACAGCAGCAGGATATTGCTACCTTGAGTCCGTGGCCAGAATGACAGTTCAGTAAGTTGCATGTGTTGATTTGTTACTCATTCTGAGATGTGATAGGGTGATGTAGGAATACTAACACGGGGCATTCAAAATGTAGAAGTCACATATTAATTTAATACAAACCACAGAAGTTTTCCAGCACACTTATCAGCTAGCCTGCAACAAAACATATTACATTGTCTAATAATATGCATTAAAAACAGAGGTTTTATTTTCACAACTTTTGCAAAATATGTGGAAGCCACACTGCCTTGTCATAGCTGCTCTGAGTAGTGTGGTCCTAACTCTAACGCACCATTTTTACCGCATATTGTTAAACAGTGTAATTTGTTTTGTTGCAGGATAGCTAAATAGGCTAGTTATACATTGTGCGGTTGCCAGTTTTTTTTTAGCTTGCCCATATTAATTTAACCTTTTAACCTTACTATAGATGACTTATGCCATGTTAGTCAAATAGAAGGCATTGATCAGAATGAAACACTTTGACACATTACCACATATCCCTTGTAACCCAGAAAACTATTGACAAGTCTTCAGGTTCTTCAAAGTTCTTCCCTGTGGCTGCTTTGTAGCTATTAATTAACACTGTTAGCTGCAGGATGTTTGTTACACTTGCCTTTGCACAGTTTAAATAATAAGGTTTAAAGTAAACAGATGCTGCCATTACTGACCGACTTCTGAGGACACTAGCTGCCTAGCTGTTATGTTGCCCACTGGCTTAAACACTTTAATTCAATGACCAGGAACTAGTATGTAATATCAGCCAGATGTCCTCATCTGCATACTTGTTCCAGGTCAGTAAGAGCATTTTGTAGCAAGATGATAGGTAATACAGTCAGACAGTTAGCTTTTCAGAAGAAACGGTCATATTTGATAAAATTACATCCACAAGGACTGCAATATAGGTCAAATCTGTATAGGAAGGGACAGGTGTTTGTAAATGACTGCCCTATGCTATAAAGAGAAATTAATTTAATAAGAGCAAGGTACAGTAACAATACCTTGTTTCCTCAAAACCTCTGGTTCAGAGGTTTAACCTCTGAAACATGTCAACCGGAGGAAGATCAGTGCCTAGATGGCCCTGGCTTGAACACTTACTCTTCCGATTTCTGCACCTCGTTCTATCATTTGTCCATCTTGATCCACTTGAGACCGTTTTATTCAATGCTCGTTTTTTACAAGTCGTTTGTACATTTCCAACTGTATTTTACCTTTATTAAATCTGTTTTACACTGTGGAGGCGCCTCTTTTTGCTCTGTTATTTTAAATGCATGTTTGAAAGCTTTAACACTGATAACATGTACACATTTACAGTAATATTATCACACAATCTAAATGCTAGATCTAAACATTCTCTCTGTGCTGCTCATGCTACAATTTGTCACAATCAGGTTGCGGTATAATGCAGAAAACTTCCACAGAGAAACTGTAGCACAGATAGAACAGCCATACAAATTAACCAGACTCATTCATACCTCTGTGTTGCAGTACAGTGTGTTACACAAACAATGCACTGTTTCTGCATGCATTGTAGAAGCCCACAGAAAATAACAGTAATACAAAATAAAACACTTGTGATCTAAAGCCCAACTCTGGCTTGATGCTGCTTCCTGTTTTCAGTCCACCACCATGTTTGCATTTAGGTACCGCTTGTGTCCTTTTTAAAAATTATTTATACATACTTTTTTTCTAGAATCTTTGGTTTAGTTTCATGATGTCACAGGTCCTCTTCCTCCTCTTCTTCCTATGGTGGGGGGGTGGGGATGTCCATGTAAGGACATGATACCATTGCCTGCAGCATTCTCCTTTAAGCCTATGGTGGGTTGTTTATGCTGTACTCCAAGTGGGTGGACCTGCAGGAAGTGGATCCCAGATCAGTGAGTCTGTAAAGGACAGCACTGGAGACGGTGAGCACTGCAGCGAGAACTGTATTTGTTATTTTGAATCCTGACCCTAAAAAGAAAAAGCTCTGTATTGATCCACATATTTTGCTTCGCTGATGCTACAGCTACAATTTCCTCAGTACCAGATCAAAGACATCAAGGGAATTAGCCAACAAATCTTAGGAATTAGAAAATACACTCTTTCCCTATCATCTTAAAATGAACCAATATTTTGCCATTTTTGACAAAGCAACAAGTTTATTATAATTACTCTATCCCTGAATGCACAAACTCACATTTTCTTTGTTCCCCTTTGCTTTTATTCAGCAAAGCAAACTTTTTTGTTTGACTTTTTTTAAGGTTCTAGTATCTCCAGCAGACCTTACATGGGGCTAAATACTCTCCCTGCCCTATGTTACAGTGCTGGGCCAATCAACAACAGCCAGTACTGCCATATGGTGTAACTCACATGTTTCACATGGGGGGCATTTATGCAAATATGTTACTTTGCCTTGTATTGTCCTCTCCCATCACCAATCTTTTTTGAGAATATTAGTTATCTGGCTGCCATACTAAAGCTTTGGCATTAACAATTTTTGAATCACTAATCTGCAACAAGAATAGGGAGTATGAAATTCAACACCTATTTCCAATATGCTTGTTCTGAGTATTGATTCAGAAATATCAAAGTCAGACACAGCTAGGCAGCATGCATTATGGAAAGAAGCAGTCCAGCAATGAGAGTCCCCAGTTTTCTCTCATGACAGATGTACAAGAAAATTTAGTAGGGAGAGTGAAACTCTCTCCTAATGGTTGCTGTTGTTGGGCTGTTCTGGGTATAGAGATCCCCCTCCCCCGAGTTCATGAGAAATTCATTCAATCTGGTGATTTCTACAAAAAATAAACATGTAAGTTTTCAGTTGACTGACACTTCAAGTGATACCACTCTAAATATTTGTGCTTTCTTCTACAGGGATGTTATGAGCTTAGGAATTACCTCTTTGGACCACCAGAAGACCATACTTAGTGGAATTCAGACCTTACGTGCTCAAGTTCTACAAATGCATGGACGAGGAGTGCAAGTGTGACCTGAGGATGCTAAGCTAGTTCTAGGACACAGAAATCCAAAGGGTGAGCTGTACAGCCCCCTAATCTGGCCAAGAAAAAAAGAGGAGAAACAGAAATGAAAAAAACCTACTGAGGCGGAAAACATAACTAGGAGCAATTTGGAGCCAACATTTCTCTTAACTCCCTGAAAGTAATTGTTGTGTTGCCAAGTATGTCTGATATTCTACTATGATCCATGTAATAGGGAAGTTCTCTTACAATGGGAAAATGGTGTACCTGGCTGTGTATTCACAATGACTGCCTCAAATGGCAAAACTAGACATATTTTAGTAGCCTTTTATCAGGGCCATGTGTCTGTATGAAGCATTGGCATACAGGGTGAGCTGGAAAAGTGTGCACTCATTTTTTACATGGGGTAAATTGTTGTAATATTGTGGTGCAAACTACTCCATTAACTATAAGTACTTAAGTATTTTTCTAACAGGAACTGTGTTGTACTGACTCCCATAAATAGCTTTTATTTTTACAGAATGTAAAAAAAAGACGTTTTTTATACCACATCAAGTGTCCAAGTGATATGTGTTTGGTGCAGAAGTGCTAGTCTTTTTCTTTTCTCCTCCTTACTAAGCACTTTTTGCTCAGCGGCATTAAATGATGGCATCTCTCTCTCATGGGGCAAATGCGATGAAGCCGAAGTGGTGCAATTTGTCTTGTAGTTGAAGTTCAAAGAGAGCAATTGCTTACTTTGCAAAGGTTTGTCTGACAGATTTTAGCAGTGGGAAGGTGAGATGGCAAACTAAATGGATAGAAAAAAACAACAACAAAGCAGTTGTAAGCTTTTGTAGAGACTTGATTTGAAATATAAAAAACACATATGAATCATGGGTAAGTGATATTATTGCACCTCTTGGAAAAGATTGTGCCAACCTAATGGAATAATAGACAGGGTATGCTTAATGGCATCCAAATCATAATGTGTTAATACATTACAATATAATTTATACACATTTTGTTTTTAAAGATTTTATCTATCTATCTGATTTTAGATACAATACAATTCATTTCTTGATAACTTCATATGGCTGCATAGGAGACATTTTCCTAAAGCAGCTCCAACAAGGTTTTTTGTTGGAGCTGCTTTGGGAAAATTTCCACTTATTAATGATGATGGTTGTGTCATTGGGGGTCTCTTTTCTTGCTCCTGCCAATAACTCAATTTAATTCGGAGCATGTCATTTTGTTTAACCTATCTGCTTTTATGTTCAGGGAAAGTAATGGTTGACTGGCCACCACTTCTCACTGCCATTTGCCGTTCACTTGATACAATATACAGTAATTATTAGTGAAGAGTACCTAACAGTAGAAGAAGATGAAAGTGATTCCTGTTACTTATAAGAGAAAAGTGAGCCTGCAATAATCTAACATTCTTTATCTATCCAGCTAACTTAATGTTGTACTCAAGTCCTTTTAAGACAGGAATATCAAACCTAAATTGTATTTTAGATCAAATTAAGGCAGATAATTCAGCACTAAGGGTTTAAAAAAAAGTAATAATATAACATCACTTCAGGTATCGGTATAAAAAAAGTTTTAAATATTTAGTAACTGATTTCTGTATTATTTGACTGCAACTTGAAGTTACAAAAGAAACAATATTTTACTATTAATTTAATAAGTATTCAACCTAAAAATGTATGCAGTAAAATGTATATTTGTAAAGCCTAAATCCAGTCAACTGGGAAAAAAATTACCTTGCAATACCACCCCCTCCACATTGCAAGAGTTAATTTGCTTGTTTTGTCTACAGGGTAATGAATAGGTTTAAATACTTACCTTATTATGTGCTCCCCTGGCAGCTGGTGCTCTTCTCTGCTCTATGACATTCCACTTATACAGATGGGCACTGTGGACAGGCCCTGCGAATGGGCACTATGGACGGGCACTGTAAGTGTTCTCACTTACAATGCAGGACTTCTACAAAGTGATTGACAGGTCTGATTTAAAGGGTCATTTCTCCCAAAACTGAATTTTGTGTATCTCTCTTTTTCTGGGATCTCTTACTTCAGTTTTTAAAGTGACACTAAATTCAGCAGTTAAATCTTAAAAATGTTTTTAAGTACCTTAAGTATTAACAAAAATGTAGCTTATTTATTTATCACTCATCTGTAGATCCTCAAATCATCTTTAAATTTGTGCTAACACTGTCCTTCCTTATTTTGTTCCCCATGGTCTGTAAGTGTTCAGTACACGTTACTAACGTTAACATGAATTTATAGTTCATCACGGGAGTGAGCTTGGAGCGGTGGCTACTTTACAACACACACAGGGACAATGGAGAACAAAAGTAGCCACCTTCCAGAAGGATGGACAATGTCAGCACCAATTCAGAGATGATTTGAGGATCCATAGCTGAGTGATACACAAATAAGTTACATTTTTCATAATAGTTATGGTGTTTGAAAGTATTTTTAAGATTGAACTTTTCAGCTTAGTGTCACCTTAAATCTCTGTTCTTGAATTTCCATGCCTGCATACCTGCCAATGGTCCTACTTCCCCTTATTAATATATGTATTGTCTTATAGATAGAACTGCACTGTGAGTGAGAAATTCCAAAACACTCAAGGAGCTATAGCAGGTAGTTCTCACTATTGGAGTCCCTGAGAGATTAAAGAAAATAGCAGGTGACTCCACCCACCATACTTAATCTAAAACTGAAATGTTATTTTAAAAGGTATACAGGTCAGATGACCATGTATAGGACCACAGATGCCGGAACACACCCTTGGTAGGCATCTCCTAATAGGCTACTGTGGAAAAGGCTACTGGCCTCGGTTTTCTTCCTAAAGACCAATGTTACTTGAGACAGAAGCATCTACTTTCATGGGATCCAACAATGGGTGAGCATTTACAGTGATATATTTGTATATTTTTGCTTGACTTTTGAGGAGCTGTAAACATCTAGGTGTGTAAATTATTTTAGTAACTGGCCTGAGAACCATGAATACATGGTGGTGATTGAGGTTACTTTTGCTCATAATGTGGGGATTCCAGAATTATCATTACACTGTTAAGCTACCTGGGAATATTTCTGGTAACTCTTACTACCACTGTTGGAACAAAGGTGCCTTTCCATGGATAACAATAATAGGCAGATTGCACTAATGGCATTGTGCCACCAGGTCTTTCAGCACCTGAAGCAATGTATTTCTCAATAACAAATGTTCAGCCAACAATGGTTACCACCTCTGTCTTCATTCAGGCAGTGTTCATTAGCAGACTATTCATATGCATCTGCCAGGTTATACATATATCCAAATTCGTTTTCCTGCTCAACTCCCTTTTTAGAAAAGCAGCTTTGTAATTGAAGCCTGTCCTTACTTTGTTTTTACTGAAGCAAAGCTCCTAGCAAGAAAATCTCATTTAGGGTTTAATTATATTTAACAGCACCTTTTATGCTGCCAGCAAAAAGTCAAATGATAAAGTGTTTTGGGTTATTAAACTTAACATTAAAAGTACATTATATTTCTTTTTGTCATGCTAATGCAGTTGTTAGAATCAGAAAAAGTGCTGAAACTTTTGAAACTGATTTTGTCTGTGTGTTATCATAATGAGAACATAATTAATCACCATTCATCTTCTGTTAACATGGCACAGTTGCAACTTTATTATCAGTGTCAAGCGAAAGAAAACAGAGATAATGGAGTAGCACAAGTGCTAGCAATGGATACAATGTTTATATGTTGCATCCAAATAGCCAAATTAACATACAGTATATGTCAGTAGAATAAAAGGTTACATTACATACCATTGTATTTGATGACTAAAGGGCAAGCCTGTCTGCTATTAAGAAATTGTCAATGTTCTGCTACGGAGATGACTGGCAGTGAGTGATTAAATCTCTCAATGGCAAGGCATTTATTTGCCCTATGTAGCCCTACCTAGTAATCTGAGTTATAAAATACCCATAACATGAATTTGCCTATAAGTTTAAAGAGCAAATTGGCCTTCAGCATTTTAATTATCCCTACTAGAGTTTGTGGGTTTATTGTAGCTTTTACTTTTTTCATGCAGCTTTATGAAACAGAGGGGTTGATTTACTGAAGGCAAATATGATGTTCACTTAGGAAAGAGAATTTTCACTTTACAAGGGAATGTTCCCTTAGCTTAGTGAATAAGGTGAAGCTCTGCTAACTTCTATCATTTAATCACATGCAAGCAAAAATACTGTTTTTTAATTCTCTTTGCACGAGATTAGGTATTCTTTGCAAAGTGGATTTTCAACACATTCACTAAGCTAAGTACAAATTTCCCTTGCAATGTGAAAATTAATTTTTCAAGTGAACAGGTTCTACTCTTTTAGTAAGTCAAACCCCAGTGTGTAATTTTTCCACTACTAAATTCTGTTATTACTGCTGAGAATCAAGTGGAGGGAGGTTTATTACATTACCTGAGCTAAAGCTAAGCAAGAGAAGTACTAGCCATCATGACAATGGAAGAAATACCCACCACCATATTCCTAAGCTACTGTTAAAGAAATAAATCTTCAGTCACTGCAGCTGTTCTTTTTTTTGTTTGGGGTACTTACCCAGATAGCAAGCAATTGAGCTGCAAGTTTGAAAATGACTTACTAAACTATTGCAGACTTGCCAAGCTTCACAATTTTGTTGCACAATTACAGCAAGTCTGCATTGCAATTCTCCAAATCAACGTGCTTTGCAAAAGTGCTGTACACTTGCAGAGCTCTCGCTAAGACCTGCAGGACTCTTGCTGTAGACTTGCCAAGAATGTGTGCTACACACATTTGCTACACATTCAAAAAGTGTCAACTAGAACTTGTGCTGCCAGTGTACCGCTTGTCTATAACTTGCCAAGAATGTGTGCAGCAAGTTAACAAGAATTACAATTTAACCCTGCCACAAGTTTGTGGCAAGTTATCCTTGCTATCTGGGTAATTCAGACTTTCAGATGCACTACACTAGGTGGTGTTTGGGGCAACATTAAGTTATATTTCAAGCTAGGGGTGAAAGCAGGCAAACTAGACAGAGTTCTATATATTATAAAACTTTTTAAGTAAAACAATATGTTCTGCTAGAGGCCAAAATACAACTAGAACAGTAAGTATAAAAAAATCTATTAATATGCCTACAGGTGCCCATTACCACGCTTCTATAAAATTACAAAAGAGCTTGAAGTATTGG